GGCGGACACCTGGAGTGTGGCATTGGCTTGCGGAAGTGTGCCTTCCTGAGCCCAGAGGCTGGGGCGGTGAGGACAGCATCACACAAGATGGTGTGTGGTGGAGAATGGCTACCTAAGGATGAGTGTCCACAGAGAGGCGAGACCACGACACGCTGCCAGAGAAAGCCCAAGTAGTACATATTTGCCGGGGCTGGGAGGCCTCTTTGCCCACTGGCTTCTCTATCTTGCCAACCTGTAGTCTTGCCTCACAGCCCCACAACAGGTGATGTAAAATGATCAAGAGCCTGAAAAAGCTACCGAGGGCGCCAGGACTCTATTTACCTGTCTGTCCAAATCGATAGAGAACCTGTCCTGTGCTTTGCTGGCACTACAGTTAGTATTTGGACATTAATCCCTTATCTTTTATATTCAAACACTTTTTTAAATACTGAAAGGCTGCTACTGTTTGCAGTGCTGTTTGGTCTGTGTACAGTGTACGTAACCCAATGATCATTCTGAGGCTTGTATATGGTTTTGTGTAGTTCTGCCCTGTGCACAAGTATGTGGTACACTGTTTGTGGTCTAAATCAAAATTATGTTATTTGGGACAGGACACCATTGCTCATTAACAATTCCATGGGTCTAAATTTCTGCCACTGGGTCCTCCCTGGTGGTACAATGGGTTAAGGCACAGCTCTGCAACTAGCCACGGCTGCTTCAGTGAGAGTTAGATCCTCAGCCCTGGAGGTGATCCACATGGCCTGTCAGACCTCTTCTGACCCACCCGCTGCTCCCCTCAGCAGTGTACTTCATTGATCTGCCTGTTCTGCTCCCCAGTGTGTTGCTGGTGAATTCTCTCACCGCCCCTGCACCTCTGGTCTGTACCCCAGTTCTGTATGCATAAATAAACAAATCTTTAAAAAAAAATTGCTGCTGTCCCCACCCCCTTGCTGCTCTAGCTCTTGGTTCCAGAGCACTGTTTGTGCAAGCAGCAGTAGGTAGTGGGAATTTTACTGCCCACCACCAGTGTCCCCTCCGGGGCTTGGGCTGCAAGTGATAGTGGGTACCAGTGGTTTCCAGGGTATGCAGCCCTTGGCAGAGCATGGGCCCCCATTGTGCCAGCTGCATTGCTGTCACTCCCTCCAGCTGCAGGCAGTAGAAAGGCCTATGGATTTGGTGCCTGAATTGTGAAATGGACAATGAGATAGGAGCTGTGAACTGATGGGTGAATGGTCCAATCATCCATAGGACTGAAATCGATTCAACCAGACTTGTGACAGTTGTGGGGAACCCTGAAAGAGGACATAAGGAAGGGCAGGAGCCAGTTTGAGACTCTTGAACACTCAGACTCTTGCTCCTAGTCTAAGAAGAGAGACTTATTCTCTTGCACACTCAGTCTGTGCTTGACAAGGACTCTGTTCCTGATCTCTGGAGAAAGAAGCAGCAGCATTGGAAGTCCACCTCGGAAGAAAGAAGAGAAGCTGAAAGCTTCATAGGGAAACCAAAGAGCCTCGCAAAGGCTGGGTTGGCTGCACCTGCCTCTGGCCTGACTCTTGATGTTACCTGAAAAGAGCACCAAAGACCCCAGACCTGGTGTCTCAAAGACTGTTGTTGGTGTGGGCCAACAACGCAAAGAGCTGTAATACTAGTCTGGTGCTGCTACCTCTTTTGCTGTCTGGTCTAGCATCTGGTGCTGTCCAGCCCAACCTTCAGACTGTTGCTGTGGGCTGTGGCACCATCTTAGTGTCCACCCGTGACCACCTCCAGCTGCTGTGATTCAATCCTGGCCTGCTGCTTGCTGGTTTGCTGTGAGCTCCAAGCCCTTGTTGACAGCACAGCACCATCTTTGATGAATGGCCTTTGTTTGGGACTTTTGGACACTGGACACTACCTGGGGTGAGAGCCAGCCACTTGTGGCCTTAGGAACTCTTAGTTCCCCCCATTTGTTAAATAAACCCCATTATTGTTCTCTGAACCTGAGTAGTCTGCAATTGTGTGTGCAGGTGAAGCAACCACAGGCAGTGAACTGTCCTTTACTGGACACTGTCCTTTGACCTGTGATGGCCATTTCCCCACAACCCCATCCCTCACCTCTCAGCACCCCCTGTAGCTATCTTCATGAACTGATGCTTATGTGCTTTTCCCCTGGTACTTTAATGATTCCTTGAACCTTCCCTCTTTGGTCCAATTGCCAGAATGCCACTGCCTCACACTTGTAGTTCTGCCTATTTCTGGCAGTTGTCAGATAAAAGGAAAACACAATGGAATTTGGTCCCATTCTCCTGAGACCATGCAGTTCTTGTGATTAAGATGTGAGTTCCCATTCCTCATAGCTCTGTGTGTCCACTTTACTCTTGCTGCTGCCTCTGCAGCCAGTATGGTATTGCTTAGGGCTGAGTCAACAGAGAAAGAAAACAAAAAGGTAGAATTTCCTCTTCTGATTCTGAGCATTAGATTACTGCTTTAGACTCTTTTCTTGATCTTTAAGACAGAGGTAGAGTGCTTATATTAGAGTTCTCTATTTCTGCTCATGTTATACCCTCAACCCAGCCAGGGGATAATATTGGAGATTGGAAAAATGGTAGATATATTTCAAATATTGAACATATTTCACAGTTTTGCTGCTGTTATTTACTTTTCACAGTCCTCAGATAACTTCCCCTTGCGTTTAGTCCAGGTTTCATAACTGTATCGTATGGAGAGATTGGGTGTGCTTTTTACCTCTTACCAACCTATACCATCACTTAAGAGATTAACTATAATTATCTGTATGCCAATATCAGTATATGTGAAACAATTTGCTAGTCTATGGGAATAAAAGTATGTGGAAATTATGTAAATTATTTCAGTAAATAGAGTTGGACAATAACAGTAAAATTTAGGTAGTTGCTGTAATAGAGAATTGAGAATATATGAGTCTGTTCAGGAGTCTCTTACCTGCATAAGAGAAGGGTTGTTCGGGCCCTCTCTGGTGGCGCAGTGGGTTAAAGGCACAGCACTAAGAAGCTTAAGCCACTTCCGCATGAGTTCGATCCCCACCTGTCCTGGAGGTAACCACATGGCGCGACAGACCTCTCCTGACCCACTGCTCCCCTCAGCAGTGTACTTCGTCAGTCTGCCTGTTCTGCTCCCCACTCTATTCCTGGTGAATCCTCTCACCCTCCGCATCTCTGGCCTGTACCCCCATTCTGTATGAATAAATAAATAAATCTTAAAAAAAAAAAAAGAAGTGTTGTTCAAAAATACACTATTACTTCACATTTTATAATTCTGTATTTCTCCCTGGCCATAGCATATTGTTAAAACAGTTAACTTTGGGCCCTCGCTGGTGGCACAGCGGGTTAAAGCACCGCACTGAGAATCTAAAAGCCACTTCCTCATGAGTTCATTCCCACCTGCCCTGGAGGTGACCACATGGCGTGGCAGACATCTCCTGACCCACCCGCTGCTCCCCTCAGCAGTGTGCTTCGTCGATCTGCCTGTTCTGCTCCCCACTCTGTCTCTGGTGAATCCTCTCACCCTCCACATCTCTGGCCTGTGCCCCAGTTCTATATGAATAAATAAATAAATCTTTAAAAAAAAAAACAAAAACAGTTAACTTTGATAATGTTTCATAAAATGGGTGACTAAAACCAACAGATATTTATTCTCAACATTTGGAGGCTACAAGTCTGAAATGAATGTGTCAGCACAGTGGTGAAGATTCTAAATCTTGTAGGGAAGAATTCTTTCTCACCTCTTGGTTCTGGTAGCCCAGGTTTTTTATTTTTTATTATTTATTTATTTTTTTATTCATTACTCCAATTTTCCACTTTTCACATGGCATTCTTTCAAGTCTTCATACCATCTTTGTAGGAGTGTCTGTGGTTGTGTCCAGTTTTCCCATTTGGAAGGAAACCAGCAATACTTGGTAAAGAGTTACCCTTAAAGACATCATTTTAAGTTGATAACCTCACAGTATGAAATCTCCCAATGAGGTCACATACTGAAAGATAGTAGGATTAAAACTTTAACATTTCTTTTAGAGGGCACAATTCAATCAACCAGCACCTACAGAGTTAGTAGGTGCACAGCTGATACCTGGAAAGTCATTGACATTACATTATAAACCAAGGGAACAACAGGTACTAAGTAATGAAGACAGATTATTGGATTAATAGAATACAACATTGGCGGGAGCTTAATCCAGGACAGGTGTGATAGCTGAGAGGTAAGTCAGGAAGGACTGGAATAGAACCTTAGAGATAATAGAATAATTTTAAGCTTTAAAAAGCAGTGGATGTTTGTAGTGCAACTTATCTCTAAAGCTCGGGAGAAAATGGGATTGTCAAATATGAAGTTCCTTGGAAGAAACAATGACTGCTAAAATCACATTCACTTAAACTTATAAATTGTTGGTACACAAAGATACAAGTCATTATCATATTCACATACATACATACGTACATATACATACACACACATATAAAACTTAGGCTTATGCTCTATCTGTAAAAAATGCGTTCCCTTTGCAGTGCATTTCAGAAAGACAATTTAGGATTTTAAAATTAAATTATATTTGAAAGTTAGTTTGAACTGACTGCAGATTCTCCAGATGGAACTCTGGGAAGTCTATAATGAGCAACAGAGTATAGATTGCTTTAATATTGCTTTGTAATAAATATGAAGATAAACAGGTGTTTTTTTTCTCTTGGATTGTGTTAATATATGGGCATATGTTATTAGAAAATGGTACCGGACATGGTAGGAAATCCTGGTAAAGGTTATTTTCCTGTTCACTTAACTGTAAATGAGCTATTCGTACTTGTGACCATAGGGCAAATGATCTTTATAAAAATTCTTAATGAGTGAGATACATAAGATACCATTTTTTCCTTCAGATTCAACCTCTCTAGTAATTTTACCCAACTTTGCTTCTTTTATCAGCAACATTCTTGTTCCTTTTTCTGTGTTAAAATAGATGGAAATGAATTGTATGGTTTGTAAATGTAATTTCTTATATGCTTTTTTGTTTTTGACAGCCGGTTTATTTTGCATATTCCCAGCGAAGAAAGAGACAATGCTATTCGAGTGTGTTTTCAGATTGAACTTGCCCATTGGTTTTACTTGGATTTCTACATGCAGAACACACCAGGATTACCTCAGTGTGGGATAAGAGACTTTGCTAAAGCGGATATCCTTTTTGTAAATGTAACAGCTGTTGCTCATTTTTGTTAATATTTTAGCACAAATTTTCTCTTGTCTTTGAGATTTATAACCTATTAGATAAAACATTCATGATTTCTAAAATTGTCAAATAGTAGAATTTAACTGTGTTCTTTTACATAGAGGATCCTTTGAAGTTTACACTGACAATTAGAATTAAATGAGTTTTTTTTCATTTATAGCTAGACAGCCTATTTATAGAATTGATTTTTCTTTTTTCCTAATGCTTTTATTTAACCACATCTTTAATTAGATGGAATAAAAGTTTTTAGCTATTTGAATACTTAGTATGTTCAGAGTTGTATTTTTGATTTTGGCAAATACAAAGACTTCTTTATCTTCAACGAAGATTTTTTGTTTTTCCTTATTTGCAAATATGATAGAAACTTGTCATAATTTATTGGTTATAGGAGAGTCATATTAATATTTTTAAAGAAATTGTGTCATAAAGCAAAAAATAAAAATGCCACCAATGTTCCTGATAAGAAGTGCTTTTAGAATTTGGAAAAACAATGGAAATACTTTAGGTGCAAAGTTATATATATATATATATTTTTTTTTTTGCGCCAAATTGACCTCCATACACTTGTGTTAATTTAGTGCAAAGTTATATTTTTAAGGGAATGTAGGATTTTCTCAGTTGACAGAAGTGGGAAATGATATCTACAGGGTAATGAAAAGGGACTGAGCAAGATTTGAGAGCTGGAAAATTTAAAGATTACCTCATAAAGTGAATTAATTTGATCCAGGGGTTCTTCTGGAGACATAATGAATAGAAAATATAAAGGGTGGATTTGTGTCAAAGATATTTTCTCTAAGTAGCCTTTAATTATAAGTCACGTGCTGAATTGTAATTATATTCACAAGTTAAGGATACTGTACTAGAGTTGGAGTAGGACTAGGTGAGGACTTAGAACAAATAGAACACTTCTAGATAACTATTAGCCATAGAAAGGTTTTGAGCAGGAGTAGAGATTATTGAGATCATTTGAAAATGAAGATTTTATTTGGCAGGATAGGTTGAATCATAGGGTGGACTGTAACATTACTTGAGATAGGGACCATTGAGATCCTGACTGTAAAAAAAGGACTGAGGAGATACTTTTCATTGGAAGAAATGATCAAGCTATTTGATTATTGATCATCTCACATTCTGTGTGAAGAAATAAATGAGAAATCAAGGAGACTAGGGGTGTATTTAACATTCTTTTGTTAAAGACTTGGGGTATAGGTTCTGTAGAGAAAGACTTAGCTTTTAAGAGGTTATAATGTAATTAGAGAAACATGATCAAAAATGCTAAATCCTCTTAATTCTGTGATTTTTGGTCCATTTTGCATGTTTTGGGGTTCCACCAAAACAATTTTATACATACTTTGAGGTACTGGATAAAAATTTGTGTGTAGCATGAGTTTTAATCTTTCCTTGCAATTGAAAAAATTGAGAACCTATTTGAATTATGCTTTTAAATTCAGTTACATGAAGAAAAATCCTTTATGCTAATGTGGTATTCATTAAGTAATGGATCACTTATTCTGTGTTAGGCACTCTGTAGTGAACTAGGAGAATGCAGTTTCTATCTTCAAAAAGATTTGAGAGACATAAAAGTATTGATTGGAGTGTAGTTAGGTAAACTATGATGCATTAGTTATGGTACATTAGTATAGGGATAGAAGACAGGGATACTCAGCTCAGGTTTGAAGCTAGATAAAAGTTTTCTTTGGAGGAAGTCTGTAAGAAACATCTAGTGAAGGAGTAGTTAAATATGAGTAAGAGCAGTCAGATATGACTTTTTTTTGTGTAAGTGGAGTGAAAGAAGAGCTAATTCTGGAGAGACAGTCAGTGCTAAAGTATAGAAGTGTCTTATGCCAGTTTTTTTTTGACTTTATACATAAGAGTAATAGACCAGTATAAGAGATTGAAAAGAAGATGTTTTTTTTCATTGGGGGAAAACTTACACATCAAGAAAAGTTGAAACAGTACTACATATGCCATCACACCTTTCTTACATATTTATCTATTTTTAACATTTTCTGCCTTTGCTTTTATTTCAATGTAGGGGTTGAAAGGCAACTTTTGAAAGTGGGATTGGGAGCCTAGTTAATAGCATTTTCATAATTTATGAGAAAAATAAATTGGGAACCTGGGATAAACATGAAAAAGGTTAAATTTGAATGTTTGGAAGGTAAAATTGGTGTAAAGCTGGATGTTTGGGGTGGATATAGGGCAGAGAATCAGTGCTAGCACTGGTTTTGAGCGTTGGGTGTGTGGTAGTGCTATTCATTGGTAGAAAAGAATTATGGGGGGAGTGAAGTTATGGACAAGATGGTTTGTGGTACCTAATGACATATTGAAGTGGAGATTTTGCTGGTGTAGTATAAAAGTTAATAGCTTGAGTTCTGAAGCCAGATTCTTTGAGATAGCTTCCCATTTTTGCTATTTACTAGCCATGCAGTATTGGGGAGATTGTGGGACTTTTTGTAACTGTTTTTCTCCTTTGTAAATTGTACATGGTCTTGTGAGTTATGTTCAGTAAATGCTCAGCCATTTTACTAGCGAATGGATATCCTGAATTTGCTCCTGGGTTGAAACTTTACTAGAGAAGTATACAGAGAATAACAGATAGCATTGTTGAGAGCTTGACTAAAGCAATGACCCATATTGTTTAGGGAAGAAAAAAAAGTAGGAAGGTGCTAATATGGAGGAAGGAGAACAGTCAAAGATAAATATATGATAATTATGTAATAATGCTGTGAATAACTGAGAGAATGCCATAGAAAGTTATGGTCAAGGTATTTTATTTTAATCAAATTTTTCAGAATAGTTCCAGTGATAGTGATGGCAAGGTCTAAAACATTGCTCTGGGAATTAGTCTCAGAAATAGAAATGGATGTGAAAGATAAGAAATATGAGGAATTGAATCTAGAACTTAAGGACATCTGAGTTGTCCATGAGGAAATTGATGTTATCTAAGGTAATAGTAGGATTTTGGGTGAAGATTACACTCTAAATGATTGTAGGATTGCTTTAAAATCCTACAGCAGATTTTTCATGTTTCTGCAAAAATGTTGCTGAAAGGAGTATTTAAAATGACTTAGGTGCAAAACAATGTGTAAATATAAACTACAGGTAGACATGTGTTTAACATTCTTATATTCTATATCTACTCTGTCTGACATTCTTTTTTATTAGAACTGCTATATGAGACACAGTAACCCAAATTCAGCACTCAGTACAAGTTGGGGGTTGAGATTGAAAGTATCAAGTGGGAATTATAGTAAAAGTTAGAAATGACAGCTAACAGTTAACTCTAAAGTTAATAGGGCTTTTGCAATTCAGTGTATTTTCATTGAATGATACTTCTATAACTTTTAGTCCCATTAATTCCTTTTATGACTGTTAAGTTTAATGAAGGATTAAAGAGCTGTTGGTAGTTAAATCAATGTCATTTGGTTTTCATTTTAATTGTCATGAACTTTAGCAAGTACAGGTTCTTTTCAGTGTTAATTACAAGCTTATCTTGAGCTGTAGTTAGTTTATTAGTTTTGTGGTAGTATTGGGGTAGAGAACTGGCTAAGTGAAAACTTAAATATTTGAAAAGTTGTCAGTTGAGTAATCTTATTTTTTTTAAAAGAAGTTCTTTAATAAATAGAAATAAAATAGGAGGTAATACTAGAGTCAGTGATGTAGTTGGTATTATAAGGAACATTGTAGGTAGAAAGAAGAAAACTGGATAAGTATTTTACTTTCTAAGCTATTGAAATTTATCCCTGTTTCTGGGTTTTTATTTTTCCCTGGTTAAATTTTTAGTGGAAAAATAGCCATTTACCTAAAATTTATACTTAGATTTGAAAAAAAAAAAACAACAAAAAACCTGTGATGACCTTAAAAGGTAGCTAGGCATGTAAAGCTGGGCTTTTATTGGGAATACCATTCAGAATCTGTGTCGAAATCTATAGTTGATGTAGCCAAGCTTGATTTATTTTTTCATTCCCCTTTCCTCCTTAAGATTAACCTAGTGCCTCTGCAATGATGAAATAGTTAACTTCTGGACTCTTAATGACCTTTTGGTTCTTACTGTAACTATAAAATGAAGACAAAGTTTGAAATAAAAAACTAGTTCTCATAAAACTTGGTTTCATATAATGAACTTAATAGGATGTTTTTATATAAACCAAACCACACAGATCACCCATGTGATCGTAATGCTGACTTTTTCATGTTTTGATGTGTTTTTACTACCCATTTTTCTGAAACATTTCTTTACTCCATCTGTTACGAACCCTCTTTTCTATCTTGCAATATCATTTGATCCCAGTACATCACTTGAATATTAGGTTTCCTCTGTTCTTAATGGTACACAGCAATTAAAGTAGTACTACTACCAGTCTGGTCTTTGTATGTAATATAGATGATCATACAAATACAAAAACATCACAATGTCCCAATGCTTTTTGTAATTCACAGTGTTTGAATGATGAAGCACTTGATAGCATGGAGTATCTGAAGCCTGAACTTGCACTTTATAGGAGATTTTGTGTTTTTTTTTTTTTTTTTAAAGATTTATTTATTTATTTGTACAGAACTGGGGTACAGGCCAGAGATGTGGAGGGTGAGAGGATTCACCAGAGACAGAGCGGGAAGCAGAACAGGCAAATCCACGAAGTACACTGCTGAGGGGAGCAGCGGGCAGGCCAGGAGAGGTCTGCCACGCCATGTGGTCATCTCCGGGGCAGGCAGGAATCGAACTCATGCGGAAGCGGCTTTCGACTCTCAGTGCTGTGCTTTAACCCGCTGCGCCACCAGGGAGGGCCAGATTTTGTGTTTTTTAAACTTACTCCTTAAATTATTTTACTCTGCCCAGTTTGGCAGGAGGGCATCAACTTTTAAAACAGTTTTAAATAGGCTGTACTTATTTTTATAGCCAGATTTACCTTGCTCTATAATACTTAATAAATTTTTTTTTTTGAGTATAGAAGACATGTTCATGGTAAAGAAATTCAGAAGTGTAAAGTACTATAATTTATCCCTAGTTCTGCTTTCCAGATTTGAGCGTGTTCACTGGTTTCTACCTTTTACCCATGAATGTGAACTATAATTCTGTTTCTTACTATCAGTTTCTTTATCTGTTGAGCACTGATGTGATTGCATGGTTCTGAAATATATGTGCTAATTTTAGTGTCCATGAGATGAAAAGCCAAAGTTAGCTTTATTTGTTACAAGAGAAAACATGTGAATAATCAAAAACAAGGAAAATAAACTTGAATTGAGGTACAGATTTAATTTCATTTAAAGCGCACAGTTTATTTAAATATGTCTCTTTATGTAAGTGCTCATACTTATTAAGGGAAAAAACAGCTTCCTTAACACTATGTATACTCTTTAGTCATTGTCCATTTTTGCTGCCTCAAGGTGAAGATGTGGAAAAAGTTTTGGATGAATGGAAGGAATATAAAATGGGAGTACCAACATATGGTGCAATTATTCTTGATGAGACACTTGAAAATGTGAGTGTAATAAAGTAAAAAGATTTCTAGTGAAATGGTGATAGCTGTTAATTTTTACCCTTCTACTAAAATACTTGGAGTAACAATAAAATGTTATTTCTGTAATGTTCAGAAATGAGGTTTTAAAGTATACTTATATTTTTGTTGCTAAATTCTAACTTTTGCATATTTATTGAAAAATTAATAGTTTGATTTTGTTGGTAAACTTAATCTAAAAAGTACTCAACTAATTGTCGAAGAAATATTTTTAAATAGCCTTTCCTGTTGAGTCTTTCAGACTCACGGAAGATACTTAAACCAGGTACTTTATAATAAATTACCAGTGATAACAGTTACCTCTAGTAAGACTAACTCCATCGCAAGGAACATGAGAAAGAAAGGCAAGTTTTATTTTTATATTTTTACCCCTGCTTATTTTATAGGTATTACTGGTTCAGGGTTACCTAGCAAAGTCAGGCTGGGGATTTCCAAAAGGAAAAGTAAATAAAGAAGAAGCTCCACATGATTGTGCTGCTAGAGAGGTGAGTTACTATAATTTGAAACAATAACATTTGGTTGATTTTTGCTTTAAAAGTGTTTTTTGTTTGCTTTAGCTATGTAGACCTACTTTCCATACAGAAACATGAAATAATCTTTTATAAATTGTTGATTCTCTATTTTTTTTTTTAATAAAAAAGTTAATTTTAAAACAATTTTCAAAATTTTTTTTTTCGTCTCAATTGTAATCCCCACGGGTTTCCCATCACCAGATTCTCTATTTTATTTTCCCCTTATTTCCACTTTCTTTCACTGTTCATTTTCTCTATCACCTCTTTAAACCCTTTTTTCATTTTATCATTCAACTTTCCTTGTAGAATTGGATTTGCAATTTGTAAAACATTTTATGTATTAAACTCTTATGTTTGTAATATTGGCTTCCAAATATTTGCACAATTTGAACATTTCTAAGAAATTGAATTTTATTAATCAAAACCCAGTCTTGCCTTCCACTGCAAATATTCTTTAGTTTAATTCTTTAAGGATTGAAACTTCCTTATCTTTCTTTATTCTCAGTTGAAAGGATTTATTACCTGTTCCCTGAATTTGATTTGTTTCAGCCTCTAAACTTTTACTTATGTTATTTCTGTACCTGAAATATACTTTCTTCTTACTGTTTGTTCAGTCCTATCTAGGTACCTTTTGAATTATCTTTTTTCTCTGAAGGACATCACCAACTAGCTCTGTAAACAAGACCTGATTTTCCTATTTATAAAATTGTTTTAGGACCCTGATCCAAAAGAGTTGAGTCCTTTGCCCTTTAAGAGAAAGTCCCAGAGAGCACAGGCTACCCTTAACTTAGAGTACAGAAGGATAGGACGCCAGGTGAACTCTCCGAGGGGAGTCTGCACCATTTCTAGACAGTCTTCAAAGATCCTGTGTCCTTTTGAGGCCATCTCTGTCTAGAGTGGAATGTACATATTTGAATTTGCATAATCCTACAGGTTACATGGTAATCATGGTTGTTTGTTAACCTGCCCGTATGCCTGAAATAAGCTCATGGACACAGTACATAGGTGGGAAAATGGGCAGATTAGAACAAAGTGGGCATAGGTAGTGATTATAGAAAAGTATAAATCACTGGTGTCCATCATCTTACCAGTGCAGGGACCTTCTTGTGGCTGGCAAGTGACCTGACCTATTCCTACTTCCATTGTTCATACTCCTTGTGTCAGAAAGAAAGCTGGAATCGATAATGATAACTTCTGAAACTTACTCTTAAAATTGTGATTATTTTAAAATCTAACCATCAGGTATAGCCCACAGTAGTTTCTGAATTTTAGTAGCACTTCTCTTTAACATCACTTAACATTAATTATATAGCATCTTCTTGTGGATTACATACTATATTCTCTTATCAATTCATTATCTTTTTCTTTTTCCTTAATTTTTCAGAAGATGATCTATACTGGAAAGTGAACTAGCTAAATGTTGAGAGATTTCTGTTCCTGTGTATTTCTGTTTCTGTGTATTTCTCAGTAGCTTGGTTACTTAATCTTTGTAAGATACATAAATTGTCACTCGTGAGCTCAATAATTAAAAATAATAATGTTTAATTATTTTATAATTGCAAATAATATCTTTAAAATCTAAGGTGATAGTGATTTTAGAGCTATCGACTTTGTGGCTTTTTGAATTTGTTGCCTTACTGTTTTTCTGCAGCAGTGTTTCCTGGTTGGTTTAAGTTTGGGAGTACTCTTACTAGTGAGGGTTAATAATCAAAATTCTTACAAAACAGTAGTGGTTATTTACTTTGGTAGAGGATTTAAAATGTTTTCTTTTAATTTCAGCATAGAATAGAACAGCTTAGCTAGCAAGTATTTACAATAGCTTATAGACAAAGCCATTATTTATGTGTAAAGGCAGGTTTATGCATACCACTTAAAATTGAAAGCTTTTTAGGGAACAGGTTAGGAAATGATATTTCCTTTAAGATTTTCCTTTCTATAGATGGCAGGGATGAAGTACAGCATTTTACAGCCTTCCCCCTTTTAGGTCTTCAAACTTTATAGCCCTTTTGCTCATAAAAAAGAACAAAATAGGCCCCCCTGCTGGTGCAAGACTGCAGCATGTATTCAGTCCCTAGCCTGGTAGGTGACCACCCACCTAGCGTGGCCTCACCTGTCTAGTCCACTGCTCCCTGAGGTATTTCAGTCAGTCTGCCTGTTCTCCCCACTGTGTCTCTGCTGAATCCTCTCACCCCCGCTCCCCCCACCCTGCAACTTTGGACTATACCCCAGCTTTTATATATATAAATAAGTAAAACAGTTAATAAAAACAACAGCATGTTATTTAGAGGTATTGTTACAGAGGACCCCAAAGTGAATTGGGTTGCCTGTCTGTGGGTCCTCACCTGCGCGCTTACGATTTAGTTGTATTATGGAGTATTATGGACACACTCAAAAAGGTCAAATAATGGATTTATTTACGAGAAAGGTAAAGGAATAACCCAGGGAAATAGGGAGAGCCAGGAAAAGAGGGAGAGAAATACAAGTTAAACTGGAATGTCCTACCAGTTCTGCTGACTTGAACTCCACCAGCACGCTGAAAACTGATCGAGAGCCAAAACAACCAACTGCGAACCACCAGGAGCCCACATGTCCGGTTTTATCCCAACCTGGTTGCTCAGCTCCATCCTCACTCCCAGCCTGCTTCTCCAGTATCTGGCGTGTGGGCGGAGTCCATGAAACCTGTACATATTATAGTATTGACCCAGTACATGCAGTTAAACTACCTCTATAACAAAGAGAAAGTTGTCCTGGTCCAGAAAAGACATAGTGTTACCTGGAATATAGAAATTTAGGCTACACTGGATAAAACTGGCTGTCTCTAAAGTTGGATCTTTTGGGGGGGAAAGTGAAGCAAATCAAATAACTTGTAAGCTGAAGAAGTAAACCAGACCCAAGGGATTTGCTTGCAACTATCACTTGATGAGTTTGATACTCTGAATTGTAAAGAATCAGGATAATACAGAAATTGGATGTTGTTGGGGGGGGGCAGAGGAAAGAGGGAGGATGAGGGTGTGCTACAGGGCAGGGAGAAGTGCACCCATAACTCCAAAACCTCCCCTTTCTAAATAGGTTCTGCTGTCTCCTAAATTAAGACTAAACATGTAAGACCTTGAATGGAAAGGAACTTTTTATTATGATTTGTGTGCAATACAGAAAAGACAAGAATATAGTTTTTAAATTAAACACCAAGTTAACCATCCTCTTATAGATAAAAGTCTACCCAAATGGGTTTGGCCCAAAGCAAGGCCTGAAAGCCCACCACATGTCTAAAGCACCTTCTGGTGGGGAACCATAGAAAAGGGTCAGAAATGGCCGGACAAGTCTGGGAGGAAAAGAGAAAAATCAAGACAAAAAGTTGCCATAGTCAACTTCCCCACAGGTCTCTCACCCACATCTGTTTCAGCTAGTTCAGGATCTCTCTGCTCCACGCACTTCCCTCAGGCTCTCCATCCTCTTTCCTTCCTCCTCAGTCTCCTCTCCAGATTATTCTCCCTGCTCAGCTCCACCCTCCTTTGGGTTGGTCTGGAAACATGGAACCTCACCTTTTCTTAGGGACCACCCTGTTACAGATGGAGAAATCTAACCTGTGAGCCAAGACATGCATAGCTTTCACTTACTTGTTCTCTGTGTATGTTGTATGATGCTAATTTCAGTAACTTACCATAAGTAAGTAAGTAAATGTGATGGATTCTTAGGACATGGGGAGTGAGAGAATAGAATGTGAAGCTTCAACTCTGAAGACAGCCTTGTAGGGTGGCATAAATTCATTTTGGAGGTATTCCCCATGAGGAAGTGAAACAAAGCAGTTTATACTATGTCCAAGGTTACACAGTAAAAAGCAAACAAACCCGGGAGTCAGGCTCTGAAGTCCATATATAGCATTGTTATAGGGCACTCCAGCATGAATTGAGTTGCCTGTGGGTCCTCACCTCTGCACTTAAGATTCAGTCGTACTGTGGACACACAAAAGGTTCAATAATGGATTTATTTACAAGGAGAAAGGTAAAGGAACAACCCAGGGAAAGAGCGAGCTAAATACAAGTTAAGCTAGAACGCCCTACTAGTTCTGCTGACTTGGACTTCCAGCACGCTAAAAACTGAACGAGAGCCAAATGACCGGCCGCGAACCACCAGGCCAGGAGACCCCCAGAGCCCACATGTCCGGTTTTATCCCAACCTGGCGGCTCAGCTCTGCCCTCACGTCCCAGCATGCTTCTCCTTGTTATTGATGGGATTAGTAGTTCCAGTATCTGGGGTGGGGGCGGAGTCCATGAAACCTGTACCTGTTACCAAATAGGCACTTAAATAATATTTATAAATGGGAGAGTATTTCTAAACACACACTGCAAGCACACAAACAAATGAAAGTGGTGGGAATTTGTTATTTTATTTTCTAATAACATTTACTTTTCTGATTTGGATCAGTAGGAAATTACTTTTTCTGTTACTAGTGTCTTGCTCTTGTTGCCCTAAACACAGCTGCTGCTGCCACCACTTTTCACACTGGTAATGAGTTCCTGGCTCTTGTGAAGCCGTGAAAAAGGAATTCAGACTTTTCAGATAAGTAAGCAGAGAGAAGCAAACTTTGTCTTAGAGAATAAAGAAAATTTTTTTTTAGGAAAAATGACAATGAGCAAAAACTCCCAGGTATAATGTACCTGAGAGGGGCAAAGAAAAGCTGATACTGCTTCAGGAATCTATACTCTCCTTTCCTCTTTATTCTAAAGTTCCATTAGTCTTTCTGTGATTAGTTAGTTCTCAGTGGTCTCACTTAACTTGTACTGTACCTGGGATCTTCCTACATTACATCCCATATCTATTATTGTCCTTGATTTAGAATGTCCTGTTGTCCTTGTTGCCCCTCATTCTTGGGGGGTTGACTATCTCCCTTCAGTATGTGCTGTCCTTACCTCTAGAGCTTCCCTTTCTCTTCTTGTTGCCTCTTGAGCTTCTTTAATTCTCCAAAGTCCCCA